GGTTCCTTGTACATACCGGTCTAACCGGACAGTTGATTAATGCTAAGACTCCTAGTTTTAGTAAATTTGTATGGGATGCTTCTAAGCAGAATGAATTTATAAGTTCTGCTCTCAAAGCAAGTTTGGATGCCAATAATGAGTCAATATTTGTGGAATTTCTCTTGAAGAGGCATTGTGTAATAGATTCATCTTGTATGAGGAGACAGTTTAGACAAGGTAGTCTAAATCTGTAAACTTAAATTTAACTGTATTAGCTAGATCGGAATCAAGGAAGGCTCTTGGGCGGTTTATTGCCTGCACTAGGCAGAATCGCAGGAGCTATTAGCAAAATTAGAAATAAGTATAAGAGTTCCTGTAGAGGCTTTTAAGCATTAGTGCAAAACTCGAGCTATATCGACTAAATAGTACCGCCTACAAAGGCTCCCCACCCGTATCAAGTATATCACAAACAGAATGGTTTGCCACTTCAGGGACTGTCTAAGGACGATATTATCTATGATGTACATGATGACTAATGAATACAGATAATGGATGTGACGAGTTTGGTAGTGTTGATAAGTTTCACCCAGTCTCTTACAGAATTAGAAATAGTTGATGCTGTATCTCGCCTTAAAGTTGGAAAGTCTACTGGTGTGGATGGTGTTATTTCTTTTTGCCAGAGATAATGCCGTTTCTAGTTAAAAGCTTTAATCGGATATTTGATTCTAGATGTTTTCCGTCTGAATGGGCTAAATCAATAATTGTTCCATTATTTGGAATGGTATAAATAACCTAACAATTATCAGGCATATCTCGTGAAGTGTTGTTCGGTGAAACATTTGTATCTATTATCAACAATAGGCTAACCCAGTGAGAGTTGAAATATGAGGACTTGATCCAGATTCACAAGTGGATTTAAAGGAATGCTCAACAGCTTGATCATATTTTACTGTATACTCAGTAATTGAGCGATGTTTTGGCTTAGTAAAGAAATTGTATGTAGCACTTTTTGATTCTCATTGACGAAGAGAGATAAAATGTGGAAATGTCTTAGAAATATTTAAGGAAAATGTTTGATATTATCGGGTCAATGTATTCAAATGTAAAGTCTTGTGTTCGATGTGATGATGCTTTCTATGATGACTATTTTGATTGTCCTACTGGTGTGCGACAAGGCTGTGTGTTCTAAGCCCTTTTTCTCTCATTCTTTATCCGAACTATATTTTGACTTATATATCAGCGGGCAGCAGCATCCAATTATTTCCTGATCTTGTTGAACTTTTTATTTTACTTTTGCCGACGATGTGATATGTCAAGTACTGTTATTGGCCTTCCAGAGACAAATTGATACACTTTCATCTTATTCAAGATAGCGACAGTGTTAATCTTAGGTAAAATTGTTGTTTTCGTAAAGGTGGCTGGCAGTGGGTTGACATTGAAATGTAAAGGATGTTTTTGCCATGGTATCTAGGGTGATATATTCCATTTGGCAGACCTGGAAGACTGCTGTTGCTCTCTGTTATACCAAAGTTAGAGTTGTTGGTCCCAATATATTTTCAAATTGTTTGATTTCCCAAATTACAGCCTATTCTTCTTTATGATTCTGAAATTTGGGGCAATAAGAATTTTTATGCCATTGAAAAGGTTCACCTTCTTGCATGTAAAGGTTTTTAAATGTTGGGATGACTACCCTGTGTATGGTGTACATTGGTGTGGGAGATTTCCTTTGTGCATATTTTCTTACTCTCGCTGTTTTAAAGTACTGAACAAGTAATAAATATGCCAGAACATCGTCTGCCCAAAAAAAACTACAATATGATTGTCATCTTGATAATATTAATTGTTAAAAATACTTGGGGCAACCCGTGACCGTGTTCTGTTTAGATCGGCTTTGGATTTGTTTGGCTATCCCCAAGCCCTATGGGCGACGTTAATGCATTTATAAACAGAAACCAGTTAATTACAATACAGACAGGAATTTAATCAATTAAGAAATAAGTATAATAGATACAGATCTTTATTTACAGATGGATCCAAGGATGGTGGCGCAGTTGCTTGTGCCACTGTCAATCAATCAAGAACAATATCTTCGAATTCTTGACTGCCCGCTAACATCTTAATTTTCACAGCCGAGGAACACGCCATATTAACTTGTACAGCTCTTAAATATAGAAAGAAACGTAACAAGTATAAACAATATATCAGATTTTCAGAATCGCTTTCATGCCTTCAGGCTACTAAAAACATGTCTTCTAAACATCCACTTTTAATTGAAATTATTGAATTATTCAATGTTCTTGTTACTGGCCAGTACGACATCGTCTTTCGTTGGTTACCCAGCCATGTAAAAGCAGCACTCAACAAATCTGTGACACCACTTTTTATCCAATACAGTGATTATAAACTTGTCATAAGATGTTACGTACGTGGTATAAAACAAACGAAGTGGTATGATTACACAATGCCATTTAGAAAGTGGTCAAATGTAACATGTGTTATATTTTGGGATTACACTTTCTTAGTAAAGTACAAATTCTAGTACTTTTTGAGTTGAGCCCCTTCCGGGATTCGAACTCACACCCTTGTTTAAGCAGAGACTTTCGGATAATCTTAAACAATGTTGGTTCGCTTCAATTCAAAATTCTAATAAATGTTCTTATTACTCCCAGTTTAAGACATTTTTAAATGTGGAAAGGTATTTATATTCTGATATTCCTTTACATCTCAGATCTGCACTCTCTAAATTTAGATGTGGTAATTTTAATTTAGCTGTTGAAACTGGAAGATACAATAAAGTTAATTACAATGAGAGATTATGTTTATTTTTTAAATTGGATGACAAAACTGTTATTGAAGATGTACTCCGTAAGTGTGAACGTTCTTCTGATTTAAGGTTAAGATATATTCAGAAATATTTGACTGATTTTGATCCAAATGCCAATTTTATTAACATTATGAAAACACATAATGACTGTATCATAAAAGATGTCCAGGATTTTTCTGTATCATGTACTTCAGCGCATTAGAACTGTTCTCTTACACAGCATGTGCACTAAAACTACGTTGGTGTGTGCTGGCGCGTGGTCCTGTGCTTAAAGCTCAGGTCACAAATCGGTGAATTTAAGCAGCGTCGAGCTCGGAGAGTCCTTGGATGGGTGACCGTTTTTGGCAGCTTGACTCCTGAGAGTTTCTAGGACTTGAGTCCTGCCCCACAACGAAGCACATGTGACACATGTGGTCTCACCTTAGGCAAGTGAGTTTGTTCAAAATTGTCTCTGTTCACCCAGCAGGAAAATGGGTACCCGGTGGAAAAAAGTCATATGACTATAACCTTCTAGCGCCTAACAGGCAGCTTGGGTTATCCGGGGTAATAATGGCCTTGATTGTTAGCGCTATGAGCATACCTAGTGTGGAGTTTGGCGCGATATAAATGGACACATTATTGTTATTATTATCTATATCATATGCAAAAATCAGCTTTCAGTTGAACTTGTGCAGCAAAGAGCATGCACTATCTGGCTATAAAAATCCAGATTACACTCGGAAATCGACATTCGTTTTGAAGAAAGTTCAAGGTCAGATCACTACGCCATGTCTTGGCGCTGCGACACGGAACATCGCCATTGAAAGAATGCACGCTAGAGATTATCAATCTTCTGTTGCCAGGCGTCTGAATGTTAGTCTGAGCACAATATCACGGATTGCAGTTCGTTACAACCAAACAGGTATAACAAATGACCGTCCCCGTACAGGCAGACATCGAGTCACCACTGCAGCCCAAGATCAGTACATCCCGGTACTACAATTGCGTGATCGTACTGCCACGGGTGAGGGCACAGCTGCCAGGGTGCCTGGACATCGGAGGATATCCGGTCAAACTGTACGGAACAGGTTTCGAGAGATTGGACTGAGAGCCAGGAGATCCGAGGTCGCGACCGTGCTACGTCGTCACCATCGCGCTCAGCGTCTCCGTTAACTAAAATTATCCACTTGGTTGTATAGACATTACCTTCTTCTAAACTGATGTATAAAATCATGTACTAAACTCTATTTGTGGACGAGTTATACATGTTTCAAACTACAACATTTTCGCAACAGATTTCTGGGTTATGCGTTTCTTTTTTTGAATAGTATAATTTCTTGGTGTTTTATTAATTTGTGTAGAAAATTACCAAAAATGTTTATAGTGGAAGTGGTATTTCCTGCCGATAGCACGTGTGTTGCTGCAGGGGCCGTAGACCTGGTGTACATGTACTATGTAAAGTGATGACAAAGCTTTATGGATGATCAACTTCTTTATTTTCACTATGATCCTCCATAAAGTATTGTCATCTCTATACCACCAACTTCTTGAATCCCACTCAAACAAATATATAAAGTGAACTATGTCAGGTGAGTGCTTTGTCTTAGCTGGGTTTTGGTGGCCAAAACACGACACCGTGAAACACATTCACTAAGATCTAGGCTTAATCTGGATTAACCCGGTAGTCAGCAGTATATTTTAGCTGTATCACCACGCTCTGTATTCACCCAAGGCAGTGATGGACGTTGACATGATTTCAACCAAGTTAGTGATGGACGTTGACATGCTTTCAACCAAGTCAGTGATGGACGTTGACATGTTTTCATCCAAGTCAGTGGTGGACGTTGACATGTTTTCAACCAGGTCAGTGATGGACGTTCACATGCTTTCAACCAAGTCAGTGATGGACGTTCACATGCTTTCATCCAAGTCAGTGGTGGACGTTGACATGCTTTCAACCAAGTCAGTGATGGACGTTGACATGTTTTCATCCACGTCAGTGGTGGACGTTGACATGTTTTCATGCAAATTGATATCACTGAAAGAAAAACATTACTCAATCATAACTCACTGCTTCCCTAGGAAACACCTTCCTTTAAACTAACATTTCGCTTTATTGTAGTACCGACACTGAAGTAATCCACAAGGGGAATGTTACACGAGGTCACGTGACTAATACGTGAGACTATACGCAGGAAGAAAGGCTCCAACAAGTGGGTTCAAATGCATTAATTTATTAGTATTACATTGGAGATGCAATGTTTCATGTACGTAGTTGTCACATTATACTTATATCCAGATGAGTACAGTGTAGATAAACGCTGTTTTGTTACACCACAGGCAGTTCCACTTCGCAGATGTACGGGTGTGCCTCGTCGCAGTCCACGTCTCCCCATTCATAGTTGGCGTTAGCGTATTGAAGCAGCAGGCAGTTCTGGTCGTTGGCAACGTTGTTGGGCTGTCCCTGGTGCCAGTCGCTGTACGCACTCTGGTATGGAAGGCCGGTGTCTGTCCAATCAAACATGCCCTCACTCCTTTCGTCATTTCCGCCTGTGTACCAGCCATAGCCGCCAGCGGCATTCAACACTAAGGAAAACAGAGAATGTTGTCGAAACACTACATCACCATACAAATAACACGTGATGCCATGATAGACATTAGGTAGAATATATTATACTGTGTCCTGGTAGGTAACTTCCACACCAGAATAGTGTGCTATACCCTGTCACTACCATTCTCTCTCTGTCACTACCTTTCTCTCTCTGTCACTACAATTCTCTCTCAGTCACTACCATTCTCTCTGTCACTACCACTCTCAGTCAGTACCATTCTCTCTCAGTCACTACCATTCTCTCTCAGTCACTACCATTCTCTCTCTGTCACTACCATTCTCTCTCTGTCACTACCATTCTCTCTCTCTATCACTACCATTCTCTCTCTCTGTCACTACCATTCTCTCTCAGTCAACACAATTCTCTCTCTCTGTCACTACCATTCTCTCTCAGTCACTACCATTCTCTCTCTGTCACTACCATTCTCTCTCAGTCACTACCATTTTCTCTCAGTCACTACCATTCTCTCTCTCTGTCACTACAATTCTCTCTCAGTCACTACCATTCTCTCTCAGTCACTACCATTTTCTCTCTGTCACTACCATTCTCTCTCTCTGTCACTACAATTCTCTCTCAGTCACTACCATTCTCTCTCAGTCACTACCATTCTCCCTCTGTCACTACCATTCTCTCTCAGTCACTACCATTCTCTCTCTGTCACCACTTCTCTCAGTCACTACCATCTCTCTCTGTCACTACCATTCTCTCTCTGTCACTACCATTCTCTCTCTCTGTCACTACCATCTCTCTCTCTGTCACTACCATTCTCTCTCTCAGTCACTACCATTCTCTCTCTGTCACTACCATTCTCTCTCTCTGTCACTACCATTCTCTCTCAGTCACTACCATTCTCTCTCAGTCACTACAATTCTCTCTCAGTCACTACCATTCTCTCTCAGTCACTACCATTCTCTCTCTGTCACTACCATTCTCTCTCTGTCACTACCATTCTCTCTCAGTCACTACCATTCTCTCTCTCTCTGTCTGTACCATTCTCTCTCTCAGTCACTACCATTCTCTCTCTGTCACTACCATTCTCTCTCAGTCACTACCATTCTCTCTCTCTGTCACTACCATTCTCTCTCAGTCACTACCATTCTCTCTCAGTCACTACCATTCTCTCTCAGTCACTACCATTCTCTCTCTGTCACTACCATTCTCTCTCAGTCACTACCATTCTCTCTCTCTGTCACTACCATTCTCTCTCAGTCACTACCATTCTCTCTCTGCCACTACCATTTTCTCTCTCACTACAATTCTCGATCCGTCACTACCATTCTCCCATTGCCGCTACTATTCTCTCTTAGTCAATACCACTTTTACTACCATTCTCTCTATGGCACTACCATTCCTTATCTGCCACTACCATTCTCTCCTGCCACTACCATTCTCTCTTTCCGGCACTACCATTATCTCTCTGTCACTACAATTCTCTCTCTCTGTCACTACAGTTCTCTCTCTCTCTATCATTATCTTTCTCTGTCACTACCATTCTCTCTCTCTGTCACTACCCTTCTCTCTCTCTCTGTCAGTACCATTCTCTCTTTCTCTGTCACTACCATTTCGCTGTCACTACCATACAAATAACTTGCAAATACCATTTTTCTTATCAAACAAGGAATTGGAATTCAGTGTAACCATAGTGGTTTGTGGTGTCTCTTTTCACTTTCACACGAGAAAATTCTGATCGGCCGAAAAGTAGGTCATTGTCTGAATAGGTTAATGAGACTCGTGTTTCGGTTTGTCTCTTTCTCTGTGACTACCATTTTCTCTGTCACTACCATTCTCTCTCCGTCACTACCATCCTCTCTTTCGGTCACTACCATTCTCTCTCTTTCACTACCATCCTCTCTCTGCCACTGCCATTCTCTCTGTCACTACCATTCTCTCGTTTTGTCAATACAATTCTTTCTCTGTCACTAGCATTCTCTCTCTGCCACTACCATTCTCTCTCTGTCACTTCACTTCTCTGTCACTACCATTTCTCTATACTACCATTCTCTCTTTCTGTCACTACAATTTTCTCTCTCTTTGTGTCGCTACAATTCTCTCTGCATCACTACCATTTTCTCTATACTACCATTCTCTCTTTCTGTCACTATAATTACATTAAGTGTGAACGTACCAGCACTTTGCTTGATAGTGCTGACAAGGAAGTCCTGCTCTTCTTTAGATGTGATCGTCACCAGGTGCGAGGTGGTGGCCACTCTTGGCGGCAGGCCTCGGCGCTCTGGTACCAGGCTGTAGGAGTCAGGAACGTGTAGCAGGAGGAGGAGGGTTACTTCCCTTTGCGTGTTATGGCTCCAGGTGGGCAGCTTGGGATATCTTGACAAGAGAAGGAAAGAAACCAGGCGTTAGTCTGCAAGATCGATAAATGGAACACCAGTCTATCTGGGATATCTTGATAAGAGAGGGAAAGAAACCAGGCATTAGTCTGCAAGATCGGTAGATGGAACACCAGTCTATCTGGGATATCTTGACAAGAGGGGGAAAGAAACCAGGCGTTAGTCTGCAAGATCTGTAAATGGAACACCGGTCTATCTAGGATATCTTGACAAGAGAGGGAAAGATACCAGGCGTTAGTCTGCAAGATCGGTAAATGGAACACCAGTCTATCTAGGATATCTTGACAAGAGAGGGAAAGATACCAGGCGTTAGTCTGCAAGATCGGTAAATGGAACACCAGTCTATCTGGGATATCTTGATAAGAGAGGAAAAGAAACCAGGCGTTAGTCTGCACAATCGGTAGATGGAACACCAGTCTATCTAGGATATCTTGACAAGAGAGGGAAAGGCGTTAGTCTGCAAGATCGATAAATGGAACACCAGTCTATCTGGGATATCTTGACAAGAGAGGGAAAGAAACCAGGCATTAGTCTGCAAGATCGGTAGATGGAACACCAGTCTATCTGGGATATCTTGACAAGAGAGGGAAAGAAATCAGGCGTTATTCTGCTTAGACCAGTGCTTGAAACACCCATCTAACTACAATCTCATGTTTGCTTCAGTTGTATGTCCAAATCCCTCACCGCAGAAAGGCCGGTTGTAAAAACAAGGCGATTAAAGTGTTCGCTAGTTTCCGTAAAGTGTTTTATTCATGTCAAAACACATTTTGAGATATCACGAATTATTCTTTTTAACACGAAATCTACCATTACTTTGGAAATCGCGAATAAATTACAGATATCTTCATTTATTTACTTATATTGTAAGAACCGTTATTGTTACACTTAAACATAAAACTGATATATATGTAACTTTAGTGTGAACACAGAAAACATATGACAGGGTTCATACGGGAACGCCACTTGCAGCACACTCGGGACGGTGAATGTAGGGGGTATCAGTGACAGGGGATGGTAAATGTAGAGTGTGTCAGTGACTCGGGACGGTGAATGTAGGGGGTATCAGTGACTGGGGACGGTGAACTGGGGACGGTAAATGAAGAGTGTGTCAGTGACTGGGGACGGTAGATGAAGAGTGTGTCAGTGACTGGGGACGGTAGATGAAGAGTGTGTCAGCGACTGGGGACGGTAGATGAAGAGAGCGTCAGTGAGTGGGGACGGTGAATGTAGAGTGTGTCAGTGACTGGGGACGGTGAATGTAAAGGGTATCAGTGACTGAGGACGGTGAATGTAAAGGGTATCAGTGACTGGGGACGGTGAATGTAGAGTGTGTCAGTGACTGGGGACGGTGAATGTTAAGGGTGTCGGTGACTGGGGACGGTGAATGTAGGGGGTATCAGTGACTGGGAACGGTGAATGTAGAGTGTGTCAGTGACTGGAGACGGTGAATGTAGGGGGTATCAGTGACTGGGGACGGTGAATGTAGGGGGTATCCGTGACTGGGAACGGTGAATGTAGAGTGTGTCAGTGACTGGAGACGGTGAATGTAGGGGGTATCAGTGATTGGGGATGGTGAATGTAGAGTGTGTCAGTGACTGGGGACGGTGAATGTAAAGGGTATCAGTGACTGAGGACGGTGAATGTAGAGTGTGTCAGTGACTGGAGACGGTGAATGTAGGGGGTATCAGTGATTGGGGATGGTGAATGTAGAGTGTGTCAGTGACTGGGGACGGTGAATGTAGGGGGTATCAGTGACTGGGAACGGTGAATGTAGAGTGTGTCAGTGACTGGAGACGGTGAATGTAAAGGGTATCAGTGACTGGGGACGGTGAATGTAAAGGGTGTCAGTGACTGGGGACGGTGAATGTAGGGGGTATCAGCGACTGGGAACGGTGAATGTAGAGTGTGTCAGTGACTGGAGACGGTGAATGTAGGGGGTATCAGTGACTGGGAACGGTGAATGTAGAGTGTGTCAGTGACTGGAGACGGTGAATGTAGGGGGTATCAGTGACTGGGGACGGTGAATGTAGGGGGTATCAGTGACTGGGAACGGTGAATGTAGAGTGTGTCAGTGACTGGAGACGGTGAATGTAGGGGGTATCAGTGATTGGGGATGGTGAATGTAGAGTGTGTCAGTGACTGGGGACGGTGAATGTAGGGGGTATCAGTGACTGGGAACGGTGAATGTAGAGTGTGTCAGTGACTGGAGACGGTGAATGTAGGGGGTATCAGTGATTGGGGATGGTGAATGTAGAGTGTGTCAGTGACTGGGGACGGTGAATGTAGGGGGTATCAGTGAAAGGGAACGGTGAATGGAGAGTATGTCAGTGACTGGGGACGGTGAATGGAGAGTGTGTCAGTGACTGGGGACAGTGACTGTAGAGTGCGTCAGCGACTGGGGATGGTGAATGTAGAGTGTGTCAGTGACTGGGGACGGTGAATGTAGAGTGTGACCTGTTGACAGTGAGTATAGCGTGTTTCAGTGACAGGGGTAGTGAATGTAGTGAGTGACCTGTGGACAGTGAGTATAGCGTGTTTCAGTGACGGGGGTAGTGAATGTAGAGCATGACCTGTGGACAGTGAGTATAGCGTGTTTCAGTGACGGGGGTAATGAATGTAGTGAGTTACCTGTGGACAGTGAGTGAATGTAGAGTGTGTCAGTGACTGGGGACGGTGAATGTAGGGGGTATCAGTGATTGGGAACGGTGAATGTAAAGGGTATCAGTGACTGGGGACGGTGAATGTAGGGGGTATCAGTGAAAGGGGACGGTGAATGGAGAGTATGTCAGTGACTGGGGACGGTGAATGAAGAGTGTGTCAGTGACTGGGGACGGTGAATGTAGAGTGTGCCAGTGACTGGGGACGGTGAATGTAAAGGGTATCAGTGACTGGGGACGGTGAATGTAGAGTGTGTCAGTGACTGGGGACGGTGAATGTATAGTGTGTCAGCGACTGGGGATGGTGAATGTAGAGTGTGTCAGTGACTGGGAACGGTGAATGTAGAGTGTGTCAGTGACTGGGGACGGTGAATGTAGAGCGTGAACAGTGAGTATAGCGTGTTTCAGTGACGGGGGTAGTGAATGTAGAGTGTGGACAGTGAGTATAGCGTGTTTTAGTGAGGGGGGTAGTGAATGTAGTGGGTGACCTGTGTACAGTGAGTATAGCGTGTTTTAGTGACGGGGGTAGTGAATGTAGTGAGTGACCTGTGGACAGTGAGTATAGCGTGTTTCAGTGACGGGGGTAGTGAATGTAGTGAGTGACCTGTGGACAGTGAGTATAGCGTGTTTCAGTGACGGGGGTAGTGAATGTAGAGCATGACCTGTGGACAGTGAGTATAGCGTGTTTCAGTGACGGGGGTAATGAATGTAGTGAGTTACCTGTGGACAGTGAGTATAAGCGTGTTTCAGAGACGGGGGTAGTGAATGTAGTGAGTGACCTGTGTACAGTGAGTATAGCGTGTTTTAGTGACGGGGGTAGTGAATGTAGAGCATGACCTGTGGACAGTGAGTATAGCGTGTTTCAGTGACGGGGGTAATGAATGTAGTGAGTTACCTGTGGACAGTGAGTATAGCGTGTTTCAGAGACGGGGGTAGTGAATGTAGTGAGTGACCTGTGTACAGTGAGTATAGCGTGTTTTAGTGACGGGGGTAGTGAATGTAGAGCATTACCTGTGGACAGTGAGTATAGCGTGTTTCAGTGACGGGGGTAATGAATGTAGTGAGTGACCTTTGCACAGTGAATATAGCGTGTTTTAGTGACGGGGGCACACTGTGACTATGTTGTGTATAACCTACTGGTGCATGTCGTGTTGTAGACGTATACATCGTCAATGGCTGCGATATCCTTTTCGTTTTCGTCCCGGTAGTATGGTGCGAAACCTAGGCGGACCTTGTAGGCATCTGTGACTGCAGCCAACACCACCTGGAACATCACAGAAAACAAACAGCAACTGCACAAACTGTCGGAAACATGAAACACACGTGTTCAGGGTGACGTCCGCATCTTGTTGCAGTGCTTGGTAACATCACCACCGTTTTGCATGCAGTGCAAGGTAACGTCAGTACGCTGTTGCAGTGCAAGGTAACGTCAGTACGCTGTTACAGTGCAAGGTAACGTCAGTACGCTGTCGCAGTGCAAGGTTACGTCAGGACCCTGTGTCAGTGCAAGGTAACGTCAGTACGTTGTTGCAGTGCAAGGTAACGTCAGTACGCTGTTGCAGTGGAAGGTAACGTCAGTACGCTGTTGCAGTGGAAGGTAACGTCAGTACGCTGTTGCAGTGCAAGGTAACGTCAGTACGCTGTTGTATTGCAGGTAACGTCAGTACGCTGTTGCAGTGCAAGGCAACGTCAGTACGCTGTTACTTTTTATGGGAACGTCAGCACCGTGTATAATTTGCAATCTTCAGTACGTTTCAACTTCGTAAGTATCGAGTTGGCAACGTCAATAACCTATTTTTGAGCAAGGACGATACAGCGTGGTCCATTAGTAAAGAACGTCAGTTCCTTGTCTGCTATGCAATGATATCTTGTTCATTAGTAAGGGAACGTCAATACCTTGTTTCTTAAAAAGGAAACGTCAATACCTTGTTCCTTAGAAAGGGAACGTCAATACCTTGTTCCTTAGAAAGGGAACGTCAGTACCTTGTTCCTTAAAAAGGGAACGTTAATACCTTGTTCCTTAGAAAGGGAACGTCAGTACCTTGTTCCTTAGAAAGGGAACGTTAATACCTTGTTCCTTAGAAAGGGAATGTCAGTACCTTGTTCCTTAGAAAGGGAACGTCAATACCTTGTTCCTTAGAAAGGGAACGTCAATACCTTGTTCCTTAGAAAGGGAATGTCAGTACCTTGTTCCTTAGAAAGGGAACGTCAATACCTTGTTCCTCAGAAACGGAACGCGAGTGCTTTGTTCCTTAGAAAGGGAACGTCAATTTCTTGTTCCATAGAAAGGGAACGTCAATACCTTGTTCCTTAAAAAGGGAACGTCAATACCTTGTTCCTTAGAAAGGGAACGTCAATACACTGTTCCTCAAAAAGGGAACGTTAATACCTTGTTCCTTAGAAAGGGAACGTCAATACCTTGTTCCTTAAAAAGGGAATGTCAGTATCTTGTTCCTTAGAAAGGGAACGTCAATACCTTCATCTTTATAAAGGGAACGTGATTACCTTCTTCCTTAGAAAGGGAACGTTAATACCTTCTTCCTTAGAAAGGGAACGTCAATACCTTGTTCCTTAGAAAGGGAACGTCAGTACCTTCTTCCTTAGAAAGGAAATGTCAGTACCTTGTTCCTTAAAAAGGGAACGTTAATACCTTGTTCCTTAGAAAGGGAACGTCAGTACCTTGTTCCTTAAAAAGGGAACGTTAATACCTTGTTCCTTAGAAAGGGAATGTCAGTACCTTGTTCCTTAGAAAGGGAACGTCAATACCTTGTTCCTTAGAAAGGGAACGTCAATACCTTGTTAATTAGAAATGGAATGGGAGTAACTTGTTGCTGTGAGAGGGCATGGCCGTGATTACAAGTAGAACCTTCGTTTCCTTGTTGGCAACATACACAATACACCAACATTCACAATACAACAACATTCACAATACACCAACATTCACAATACAACAACATTCACAATACAACAACATTCACAATACAACAACATTCACAATGCATCAACATTCACAATACATCGACGTTCACAATACAACAACATTCACAATACAACAACATTCACAATGCATCAACATTCACAATACATCGACGTTCACAATACGACATTCACAATACATAAACATTCACATTCACAATACACCAACATTCACAATCAACCAACATTCATCGTAGACCAACATTCACAAAACACCAACATTCACAATACAACAACATTCACAAAGCATCAACATTCACAATACATCGACGTTCACAATACATCGACGTTCACAATACGACATTCACAATACATCAACATTCACATTCACAACACACCAACATTCACAATAAACCAACATTCACCGTAGACCAACATTTACTATACATCAACATTCACAATACAACAACAATCACAATGCATCAACATTCACAATACATCGACGTTCACTATACGACATTCACAATACATCAACATTCACATTCACAATACAACAACATTCACAATACAGCAACGTTCACAATACAACAACATTCACAATACACCAACATTCACAATGCATCAACATTCACAATACAACAACAATCACAATACACCAACATTCATCGTAGACCAACATTCACAAAACACCAACATTCACAATACAACAACATTCACAAAGCATCAACATTCACAATACATCGACGTTCACAATACATCGACGTTCACAATACGACATTCACCATACATCAACATTCACATTCACAATACACCAACATTCACAATAAACCAACATTCGCCGTACACCAACATTTGCTATACATCAACATTCACAATACACCAACATTCGCAATACAACAAAATTCACAATGCATCAACATTAACAATACAACAACATTCACTATACAACAACATTCACATACAACACCATTCACAATACATCAACATTAACAATACAACAACATTCACAATACATCAACATTCACATTCACAATACACCAACATTCACAACAAACCAACATTCACCGTACACCAACATTTACTACACATCAACATTCACAATACACCAACATTCACTATACAACAACATTCACAATACAACAAAATTCACAATACATCAACATTAACAATACAACTACATTCACTATACAACACCATTCACAATACAACAACATTCACAATACATCAATATTAACAATACAACAACATTCACAATACATTAACATTCACATTCACAATACACCAACATTCACAATAAACCAACATTCACTATACAACAACATTCACTATACATTAACATTCACAATAAATCAACATTCACAATACACCAACATTCACTATACAACAACATTCACAATACAACAAAAATTCACAATACACCAACATTCACAGTACACTAACATTCACAATACACCAACATTCACAATACAACAACATTCACAATACACCAACATTCACAGTACACTAACATTCACAATACACCAACATTCACAGTACACTAACATTCACAATACAACAGCATTTACTCTTTAAATAAGACAACCCCATCAACACGCCAGAAACTCCAAATCACCTTGAACGGTTGACTTGTAAATTCAGAGTCCACGTTAATCTCAGCAAGATGCCATGTTTGCCCATGGTTTCCATAGCTTCGCCAAATGGGATAACCAAGACCTGAGCCAACCTGTAGCAAGCATGAAAAAGAACACTTGCTCAAAAGTTTGAAAAACATTGAAATTAATAGACGCTAACAGTTGTGCCATATCATGTGAAGAATGCACGACAATATTGCTGGCAGTGGTGTTTTAATTAGAAGAAATGGCACTTGACGCGTTGCTCTGTGGGAGTGTTGTGAAACATTGTTTTAACTGCTATTCGTTGTGCCTGTAGATTCTGTAGGGAACACTGGTTGGCTATATTTAGACTTGCGCTCTTAGTGAGGAGTTGTCTTGCATCTTATTCTTGTGTATGTAAGGGGAGCTAGCTGTGCCTCTCATCACACATTCATCTCAAGTTTCCAAAAGACCATCACTCTGTGTGATCATCATGGTACTCAGCCTTGCCCTATAGTTACGAGTTGGATTACAGTTGTTAAGGGGTGAATATTACCTTCAATGTACTTATTGCTATAATCTCTAACCACCACCTAACAACGTTCATTACGGGTAGACATATTCGGAAAAACCAATGTGTCATCATATGGTTTTAATAGACCATTTGAAAAAGTTCAGACCAGAAAACATCTGGAATCTGTGACATACCAGCTGTACTAACCTTTGTGCAGACCACGAGAGATCTGGCATCTGTCACATGTTGTACCAACCTTGGTGTACACCAGGAGAGATCTGGCTTCTGCACCGTCAACGTTGTACCAACCTTGGCGTACACCAGGAGAGATCTGGCATCTGCACCGTCAACGTTGTACCAACCTTGGCGTACACCAGGAGAGATCTGGCTTCTGCACCGTCAACGTCGTACCAACCTTGGCGTACACCAGGAGAGATCTGGCTACTGCACCGTCAACGTTGTACCAACCTTGGCGTACACCAGGAGAGATCTGGCTACTGCACCGTCAACGTTGTACCAACCTTGGCGTACATCAGGAGAGATCTGGTTACTGCACCGTCAACGTTGTACCTACCTTGGCGTACATCAGGAGAGATCTCGCTACTGCACCGTCAACGTTGTACCAACCTTGGCGTACACCACGAGAGATCTCGCTACTGCACCGTCAACGTTGTACCAACCTTGGCGTACATCAGGAGAGATCTGGCTACTGCACCGTCAACGTTGTACCAACCTTGGCGTACACCACGAGAGATCTGGCTTCTGTCACATGTTGTACCTACCTTGGCGTACATCAGGAGAGATCTGGCATCTGTCACATGTTGTACCAACCTTGGCGTACATCAGGAGAGATCTGGCATCTGTCACATGTTGTACCAACCTTGGCGTACACCAGGAGAGATCTGGCATCTGTCACATGTTGTACCTACCTTGGCGTACGTCAGGAGAGATCTGGCTTCTGCACCGTCAACGTTGTACCAACCTTGGCGTACACCAGGAGAGATCTGGCTACTGCACCGTCCATGTTGTACCAACCTTGGCGTACACAAGGAGAGATCTGGCTTCTGCACCGTCAACGTTGTACCAACCTTGGCGTACACCAGGAGAGATCTGGCTACTGCACCGTCAACGTTGTACCTACCTTGACGTACACCAGGAGAGATCTGGCTACTGCACCGTCAACGTTGTACCAACCTTGGCGTACACAAGGAGAGATCTGGCTTCTGCACCGTCAACGTTGTACCAACCTTGGCGTACACCAGGAGAGATCTGGCATCTGCACCGTCAACGTTGTACCAACCTTGGCGTACACCAGGAGAGATCTGGCTACTGCACCGTCAATGTTGTACCAACCTTGGCGTACACCAGGAGAGATCTGGCTACTGCACCGTCAACGTTGTACCAACCTTGGCGTACACCAGGAGAGATCTGGCATCTGCACCGTCCATGTTGTACCAACCTTGGCGTACACCAGGAGAGATCTGGCATCTGCACCGTCCATGTTGTACCTACCTTGGCGTACACCAGGAGAGATCTGGCATCTGTCACATGTTGTACCTACCTTGGCGTACGTCAGGAGACATCTGGCATCTGCACCGCCAACGTTGTACCTACCTTGACGTACACCAGGAGAGATCTGGCATCTGCACCGTCCATGTTGTACCTACCTTGGCGTACACCAGGAGAGATCTGGCATCTGCACCGTCCATGTTGTACCTACCTTGGCGTACACCAGGAGAGATCTGGCATCTGCACCGTCCATGTTGTACCTACCTTGGCGTACACCAGGAGAGATCTGGCATCTGCACCGTCCATGTTGTACCTACCTTGGCGTACACCAGGAGACATCTGGCATCTGCACCGTCCATGTTGTACCTACCTTGGCGTACACCAGGAGAGATCTGGCTTCTGCACCGTCAACGTTGTACCACCTTGGCGTACACCAGGAGAGATCTGGCTACTGCACCGTCCATGTTGTACCTACCTTGGCGTACACCAGGAGAGATCTGGCTTCTGCACCGTCCATGTTGTACCTACCTTGGCGTACACCAGGAGAGATCTGGCATCTGCACCGTCCATGTTGTACCTACCTTGGCGTACACCAGGAGAGATCTGGCATCTGCACCGTCCATGTTGTACCTACCTTGGCGTACACCAGGAGAGATCTGGCATCTGCACCGCCAACGTTGTACCAACCTTGACGTACACCAGGAGAGATCTGGCATCTGCACCGTCCATGTTGTACGTACCTTGGCGTACACCAGGAGAGATCTGGCATCTGCACCGTCCATGTTGTACCTACCTTGGCGTACACCAGGAGATCTGGCATCTGCACCGTCCATGTTGTACCTACCTTGGCGTACACCAGGAGAGATCTGGCATCTGCACCGTCCATGTTGTACCTACCTTGGCGTACACCAGGAGACATCTGGCATCTGCACCGTCCATGTTGTACCTACCTTGGCGTACACCAGGAGATCTGGCATCTGCACCGTCCATGTTGTACCTACCTTGGCGTACACCACGAGAGATCTGGCATCTGCACGCCAACGTTGTACCAACCTTGACGTACACCAGGAGAGATCTGGCATCTGCACCGTCCATGTTGTACCTACCTTGGCGTACACCAGGAGAGATCTGGCATCTGCACCGCCAACGTTGTACCAACCTTGACGTACACCAGGAGAGATCTGGCATCTGCACCGTCCATGTTGTACCTACCTTGGCGTACACCAGGAGAGATCTGGCATCTGCACCGTCCATGTTGTACCTACCTTGGCGTACACCAGGAGAGATCTGGCATCTGCACCGCCAACGTTGTACCTACCTTGGCGTACACCAGGAGAGATCTGGCATCTGCACCGTCCATGTTGTACCTACCTTGGCGTACACCAGGAGAGATCTGGCATCTGCACCGCCAACGTTGTACCAACCTTGACGTACACCAGGAGAGATCTGGCATCTGCACCGTCCATGTTGTACCTACCTTGGCGTACACCAGGAGAGATCTGGCATCTGCACCGTCCATGTTGTACAAACCTTTGCGTACACCAGAAGAGATCTGGCATCTGCACCGTCCATGTTGTACCTACCTTGGCGTACACCAGGAGAGATCTGGCATCTGCACCGTCCATGTTGTACCTACCTTGGCGTACACCAGGAGAGATCTGGCATCTGCACCGCCAACGTTGTACCTACCTTGGCGTACACCAGGAGAGATCTGGCATCTGCACCGTCAACGTTGTACCTACCTTGACGTACACCAGGAGAGATCTGGCTACTGCACCGTCAACGTTGTACCAACCTTGGCGTACACAAGGAGAGATCTGGCTTCTGCACCGTCAACGTTGTACCAACCTTGGCGTACACCAGGAGAGATCTGGCATCTGCACCGTCAACGTTGTACCAACCTTGGCGTACACCAGGAGAGATCTGGCTACTGCACCGTCAATGTTGTACCAACCTTGGCGTACACCAGGAGAGATCTGGCTACTGCACCGTCAACGTTGTACCAACCTTGGCGTACACCAGGAGATCTGGCATCTGCACCGTCCATGTTGTACCAACCTTGGCGTACACCAGGAGAGATCTGGCATCTGCACCGTCCATGTTGTACCTACCTTGGCGTACACCAGGAGAGATCTGGCATCTGTCACATGTTGTACCTACCTTGGCGTACGTCAGGAGACATCTGGCATCTGCACGCCAACGTTGTACCTACCTTGACGTACACCAGGAGATCTGGCATCTGCACCGTCCATGTTGTACCTACCTTGGCGTACACCAGGAGAGATCTGGCATCTGCACCGTCCATGTTGTACCTACCTTGGCGTACACCAGGAGATCTGGCATCTGCACCGTCCATGTTGTACCTACCTTGGCGTACACCAGGAGAGATCTGGCATCTGCACCGTCCATGTTGTACCTACCTTGGCGTACACCAGGAGACATCTGGCATCTGCACCGTCCATGTTGTACCTACCTTGGCGTACACCAGGAGAGATCTGGCTTCTGCACCGTCAACGTTGTACCACCTTGGCGTACACCAGGAGAGATCTGGCTACTGCACCGTCCATGTTGTACCTACCTTGGCGTACACCAGGAGAGATCTGGCTTCTGCACCGTCCATGTTGTACCTACCTTGGCGTACACCAGGAGAGATCTGGCATCTGCACCGTCCATGTTGTACCTACCTTGGCGTACACCAGGAGAGATCTGGCATCTGCACCGTCCATGTTGTACCTACCTTGGCGTACACCAGGAGAGATCTGGCATCTGCACCGCCAACGTTGTACCAACCTTGACGTACACCAGGAGAGATCTGGCATCTGCACCGTCCATGTTGTACGTACCTTGGCGTACACCAGGAGAGATCTGGCATCTGCACCGTCCATGTTGTACCTACCTTGGCGTACACCAGGAGAGATCTGGCATCTGCACCGTCCATGTTGTACCTACCTTGGCGTACACCAGGAGAGATCTGGCATCTGCACCGTCCATGTTGTACCTACCTTGGCGTACACCAGGAGACATCTGGCATCTGCACCGTCCATGTTGTACCTACCTTGGCGTACACCAGGAGAGATCTGGCATCTGCACCGTCCATGTTGTACCTACCTTGGCGTACACCACGAGAGATCTGGCATCTGCACGCCAACGTTGTACCAACCTTGACGTACACCAGGAGAGATCTGGCATCTGCACCGTCCATGTTGTACCTACCTTGGCGTACACCAGGAGAGATCTGGCATCTGCACCGCCAACGTTGTACCAACCTTGACGTACACCAGGAGAGATCTGGCATCTGCACCGTCCATGTTGTACCTACCTTGGCGTACACCAGGAGAGATCTGGCATCTGCACCGTCCATGTTGTACCTACCTTGGCGTACACCAGGAGAGATCTGGCATCTGCACCGCCAACGTTGTACCTACCTTGGCGTACACCAGGAGAGATCTGGCATCTGCACCGTCCATGTTGTACCTACCTTGGCGTACACCAGGAGAGATCTGGCATCTGCACCGCCAACGTTGTACCAACCTTGACGTACACCAGGAGAGATCTGGCATCTGCCCGTCCATGTTGTACCTGCCTGGCGTACACCAGGAGATCTGGCATCTGCACCGTCCATGTACACCAGAAGAGATCTGGCATCTGCACCGCCCATGTTGTACGAACCTTGGCGTACACCAGAAGAGATCTGGCATCTGCACCGTCCAAGTTGTACCAGAACCTGACACAGTAGGCAGGGGCGGGTTGGAAGTCGGGGGAGGCGAGGTAGAAGGTTCTGTTGGTCCTATGGTAGTCGTAATCTCCTGATGTCGGATCAATGTACATGTAGGTTCCTGCAATGCATTCACAAAACGATTGTCGTGCTAAGACGATTGTAACGCCCATACTTTAACATATATTTATGTCACCCCTCCTATCCTCGATATGTGTTGCATGTCAGTCAATCTGATTTTGATGAAAACCGATAACAGCGGTACACAATGTCATTTAGAAGCCGCTGTGGCCGAGTGGGTAAAACTTTGTACGCTGGCAATTATGTGCCTGAATCTGACAGCGAGGGTTCGAATCTTGGATGGGACTCAACCTAAAAAACTACTAGAATCTGTACTTTAAGTGCAATCCCAAACAAAACCCATGTGCCATGTTATCAATGAGGGTTATGGATAATTTCCGAGTAGGCTATGCATGGGTGGATCTCAATATTTCTTTTGGAACTTGAGATATCAATATAACTGAAATATGGGAACCTTACCAAGAGTGGTTGTTTTGTCCATTGTATATATGGCGACAAATAGAGGCGCCTTGACACCAATGAGTTTCAGCTGTATGGCGACAGACAAGTAGAGGCGCCTTGACACAGATGAGTTTCAGCTGTATGGCGACAAGTAGAGGCGCCTTGACACAGATGAGTTTCAGCTGTATGGCGACAAGTATAGGCGCCTTGACACAGATGAGTTTCAGCTGTATGGCGACAAGTAGAGGCGCCTTGACACAGATGAGTTTCAGCTGTATGGCGACAAGTAGAGGCGCCTTGACACAGATGAGTTTCAGCTGTATGGCGACTTGACACAGATGAGTTTTGAGCTGCGACAAGTAGAGGCGCCTTGACACAGATGAGTTTCAGCTGTATGGCGACAAGTAGAGGCGCCTTGACACAGATAAGTTTCAGCTGTATGGCGACAAATATAGGCGCCTTGACACAGATGAGTTTCAGCTGTATGGCGACAAGTAGAGGCGCCTTGACACAATGAGTTTCAGCTGTATGGCGACAAGTAGAGGCGCCTTGACACAGATGAGTTTCAGCTGTATGGCGACAAGTAGAGGCGCCTTGACACCAATGAGTTTCAGCTGTATGGCGACAGACAAGTAGAGGCGCCTTGACACAGATGAGTTTCAGCTGTATGGCGACAAGTAGAGGCGCCTTGACACCGATGAGCTTCAGCTGTATGGCGACAGACAAGTAGAGGCGCCTTGACACCGATGAGTTTCAGCTGTATGGTGACAAGTAGAGGCGCCTTGACACAGATGAGTTTCAGCTGTATGGCGACAAGTAGAGGCGCCTTGACACAGATGAGTTTTATTGTTGTTTTACGCCGCTTACACGATGTTTCATCTGTATGGCGGCGGTCTGTCACTAATCTGTGCCAAACAATCTAGTGACTGACTTTCGGGGCATCTGGGGGACGATGATATGCATCGATCCTCTTACGACAACTCTGGGATGCTGCAGACCAATTCCTTGAAGCCTATAAAGTTTCCACCTGAGCCCTTAACTCTTCCCAGCATGACTTCTACAATCGTATATGTGGTATAACCTTACCCTTTGGTGCGCCAGTTGTGTGGTCTTCTTGAGGGCCGATATAACGGTTCTCTATACCATGCCCAATCTTCCACTTGTTCACAGAACTAAGATCAGTGTATCCGCAATTGGTATTCTCGAATGTGCACAATGACACCGTGTAGTCATCTGAAGCTGAAATACAGTACGTAATACGTGTACGTATTTAACTAAGTTTATAACTGATTACTTTTTAAAAATATACGTTTTAAAGCCGAGTATATTTCTGTTGGAGACTATTTGGTTAATTGAGACTGGTATCACTATGGACACAGCTGCATACTGTATTCAGCTTTGTCGTCAAGATACACTTTTACTACCTTACGGCAGACTATAGCTGACTAAGTTCTGTGTAGCAGTGTTTTATCTAGTCTGACCTGAAGTTTTACAACCATGTTTTCATGAAGTTTATTAAGTACTACAATAGGGAAGAGTATAGAGCGACCTGTGGACTGGCTGACATTGCTTGTTCGCAGACCAAGAACGCCTTTACAGTTGTTGAGGGTCTCGCGTCAGGTTGGCGATTTCCTCCTTATATTTCTGAATGGCATTGGCCGACTGCTGTACAAGTTGTGCCAGGTTGGCCTGTGACGTGTTCAGTGCTGCCGCCTTGGCAGTCAGCTCTTGCAGTAACTGGTCCCTCTCATTGGTTGTTTTGTTCAGTAAGACGGACGCTGATTGGTTCATTCCTAGTTTCTGCTGAACTCCATGCATCTGCTTCACGAGGTCGTCCACCACGCCCTGTAGATTGTTCATGTTGCCCTGGAATGAAAGTCTCAGAGTCAATCAGACGCCCCCAGTGTACCTTCTGTATATAACTAAAACATACACCTCAGAGAGAACGATGTTGACGGAATTAGTCGAACGGGCCGTAACCGTCTGTCGGAATGCCCCGTGTTAACCAGTTCGATGTCACATGATTAGAAATCACATTCCGACTCTCATTTTCCCGAACTCGTAAAAGATACTCTGATTGGTGAAGTGAACGGTCGTTCTGACGTGGTCGGTAATGGGATGTCCTGGGATGCTTAGCGATAGCGAGAACTTTGATCTGATCTTTATGAGGTTGGTTGTAAGTAACACCTCCAGCTACTACTGCTCCATATATGGCGTGTACAGCAGAGCAGGTACATGAAGGGGAGTAACCTCCCTTGGGTCGATACCGTAGCGGACGACATGGTATCGACTGTAAAGTGTAGGTCTTTATCCCATGCCGCTTAAAAGGGACAAATGATTACCCGAAATTCTCTTAACAAAACCTTTAAAACCGACTGTCCCACGTCAGAATGTTTAGTCTAGACAAGAAACCCCACCTGTACGGCATTGCAGCAGTTGTCCGAACCCCCTCCGGTAGTGGTCGCTGTTCTCTGGGTATCACACTGACCCTCGTGTCCCAGTTTGACGTTGTAGACACATTGGTTGTTCATGAAGCTGCATCCAGGCTCGAACACGGCGAGAGAGGACGACAGAAGCAGTAGCGTTACTCCCCAAACCAGCAACGCCATGTTGAATATGTCATGTGTATTACGCTATCTAAGATGCAGATTGTCGGTGTCCACTGTCCACTGTGGTATCAAGTGGCTGATATATACGTCACACAGATACGACGGCCTCAGTCTTCCCTGTTCCTCACGGCGTTTAACTTCGGGTATCTGTGTCTGTCTATCTACTATTCGGTGCGCCCCCTCAAGATCCGGGTCAGAATTGGCTTTCGGCAACCTATGCCAGTCGCAAGAGGCTATTAACGGGAACGGGTGGACAGGCTCGCTGTGTTGGTTGACGGGTGGACAGGCTCGCTGTGTTGGTTGACGGGTGGACAGGCTCGCTGTGTTGGTTGACGGGTGAACAGGCTCGCTGTGCTGGTTGACGGGTGGACAGGCTCGCTGTGTTGGTGGACATATGTCATGCAATGTCATCGTATCGCAGTTGCGTAGATCGAAGCTCAGGATGGTCCAGACTCGATATTTCACAGTCTTCAATTATCTTAATCAATTGATGGTCGTCAAATTGGAACAAACATATTTTCGTGTTTTGTAAAATGTGAAAGTGAAACAAGTATCAGCTGAAGGTTCTATTTCTACATACGTATCATGTGTGTTGTTTATGGTTGGTTCATATCTATATGTATCATGTGTGTTGTTTATGGTTGGTTCAGTTCATGCTGTTTGAGCAGTCCTATTGCTCTGTACTTCTATAAGAGCAGGGTTTACGTGGCTGGTTTGTGTAGCTCACTAGAGGCACCCCACAGTCCTGTCTATGTGGGCTTAGTGTGCAATCTAATCGCATGCATTGTCCTATGTATTGCAGTTAGTTTAACATTTAATTTCAACTGTGTATTCGGCGCTACGTTCTTTAGTTCTTTGGGTCTCTCATATAACACAGCATTTTGATCGTGTGTGGCATAAAGGTTTATTGTTGAAATTAGAAAAATACGGAATTCATGTTTCATTGTTAAATTGGCTAGCAGATTACATAAGTAATCGTTCACAAAGCGTCTTTGTGAATGGAGCCCTATCCAAGCCGGGGTATTTACAAGCAGGTGTCCCTCAAGGGTCAGTCCTCGGTCCTTTCTAATTTCTTGTTTATGTTAATGATATTGCTGATGATTTCAACTGCTTGACACGATTATTTGCTGATAATTCGTCTCTTGGCTCATCTTCTCATGATCGTCTATTCATTGAAAGAGATTTGAATTCAAACTTGGAAAGGCTGCGGGCTTGGGCAAAGCGGTGGCTTATAACATACAATCCTGATCAAACTGAGGCAATCTTTTTCTCCTTGCAAAAGAATGTTGATGCATTAAATCTCTACTTTAACGGGGTTTGTGTCAAAACAGTTAATAATCTCAAACATCTGGGATTAACATTTAGAAAGATTGTAAATGGTCTGACCATATTGATAATATTGTAAAAATAACTTCAAAAATGATATCTTCTCTACGTAAACTCAATTTTTTATTACCGCGCTCTGTATTGAATAGAATTTACGTAATGTTCATAAGACCCCATTTGAATATGCGTGTGAAGTATGGGATGGATGTGCTAAATATCAAGCAAATAAATTAGAACAACTGCAATTAGAAGCAGCAAGAATTGTAACAGGTTTACCTAAATATATTCATCATGAACATCTGTATTATGAAACTGGTTGGGAATCTTTAGCAGAACGTAGGAGAAAGCGTAAACTTCGCCTTTTTTACAAAATACAGAATAATATGGCACCATCGTACCTTATTGATCTTGTTCCTGGGGACGTAGCATCTAAATGTAACTATAATCTTCGCAACTCTGATGATGTCTCACTTCCTTTCTCGCGATTAAAATTTTCGTATGATTCAGGGGGTTCAGGGGGTTCGAACCCCCCTTTGAAAATAGCTTAAGACCACGTTGAAGATTTTTGTTTGCGTTGGTGGAGCCAATGCGGGGTTCAGGGGTTTCGAACACCCATGCACAGGGTATCACACAGGGTTTCACACGGGGTATCACACGGGGTATCACACGGTACCTCAGCCGCCCACCCGGTTTACCAGCCTACATTCACAATGTGTAAGAAGGTGAATCAGTTACATGTAAATCTCTTGACTATAAATATGTCAAACGTAATCAATTATACATCGCTTAATCTATTTAATCTAATTTAATCTCGAATAAATAAAGTCCATACATGGCACGACATTGAATGTCACCTCTGACGAACAGTTATCCGACAAGACTTCCAGATTCAACAGCATCTGTCTCACATATGAAATTGTGACGCAAATCACAGAATTCGTCGTTCCACTTGAAGCCGAGACTTCGGGTCAAGGTCAGACATGCCTGTCGTTCGCCATTGTTGCTAATGTACTCTGGTGACCCCGGATTCCACCACGTCTGACCAACCTTTCCTCCCTTGAATCCCCACTGCCACTCCCCCCTCACGAGGTATTCAATGGCCCCCAGCCACACGTACCCAGTGCTCAGACTGGATGAAGATCTGCCCAGCAAGCCCTCGAGGAAGGTCTGTTCTGCTGCTGTTTCCACATACGCCAGGTGAGCGCCCACAGCTTGGCAATACACAGCAGCCTCTGCCCAGCTTGCCTTGATGAGAATAAGTGCATAACATGATTCGTCATGCCGTAAATAGCCAGACGGACATTCTCCGACGACGGCCCCAAGCACCGTACACAAGAAGACCAGCACTTTCAGAAGGAACATGGTGCTTAGCGCAAGACTCTGAGAGTTGATGGTCTGTGAACAATCAAGTGACAAGATAAAGTTTGCTCGTCAGTTTATAAACGTATCTTATCGCATTCCTGGACCACTTTAGAGAGGTGCAGTTCAGCACCTGTTGTTAAACCCGCTCAAAAAGTCTTATAAACTCAGTGAACTAAGCAACGTTTCCATTGTAACTAGACACGTATAACCGAAACGTATGTTCAATGGAGGACATTATCTATAAAACATTTCTGCTGAATATGCAATTGTTATTTTCAAAAAGTAACGATTGTTGCGTCATAGTTCCAGACTTTCTACCTGAGATGTGACAGGTGGGACAATCTGCGTCAGGTCATGTCAACCCATGTCGACACTTTGCCCAAGGCTACACCGTCTGAATAATATCAGCATCAAACTTGGTACAGTATCGACATTTAACCAAACTGTTCTCACTCTGTTCTCCCCCGAAGGTCAGAAAAACGACGGTGTCGGTAACCTAAGTTAACAATCCTAACTTAGGGCTAACTGATTTGCTGTTCTATTGACGTGTCTGCACCCCTACGTTATTACCATATGGGGCAATACATAGGCGGGTCCAGAGGGGGGGTGCAGGGGTGCGCACCCCTCCTTTTGTGCTGAAAGTTTGTTAAATGACCATTGAAACTGGGGTGAAAATGAAGTGTGCACCCCCCCATTTCTCAATAGTGTGCACCCCCCCTTTCTCGAAAAGCTGTATCCGCCCCAGCAATATGAACGTCACATTTCTTCTATCAACGTAAGTTTAGATCAGTACATCCAGATGAAGCTGACTTGTCACGCGACATTCAGCGGATGCATTGTGGGAATGTAAACATTGCAGTCTAAGTAAGCTTAGGCTCAGTATTATTCGTTACACTGCTATACTGAGTCTAACAAAACCTTGTGGAAGGTCGCGTCAGGTAACCTTTTCAATTGAACAATCAGAACACAGTTTACCAAATCGCGAAAGTTGACATTCGCACATACCTTTTGAACTTTTACCTCGAAAAAGTTTTGTACCCGAACGATTTCGAATGCTATTTTCCGTACCATCGCTTTGTCAGTATTCAAGGATGTCAGCTTGCGGAAATATTAGCTAATGATAACCAAGTCAACGGAACCCAAAAGCGTATATTCTGCAGGTCATATATCTGTGTTTTATGCGGGTTTTCATTTGTTGTGCGATCTGTGTTGGCGACCGGGGAAGAGAAAATCCCTTTGTAAGTCCCGCTGAACCCTAAATAGTAGCCGTTGTCTCATTGGTTAAATCCGTTCGGTCGTCTCGCGTTTGATTGGACGGTCATAGGTCGCTCAAGGGTTACCTGACGCGACCTTCCACAAGGTTTTGTTAGACTCAGTATAGCAGCGTAACGAATAATACTGAGTCTAAGTTTACCTCGACTGGTAAATATTGCCAACGTTGCCGTGTCGCTGTTTAATTGTGAGTCGAGCTGAGACATTTTATCCGTCGAAAAATATAAACGTAATGTTTCCACCAGTGATGTTAGCCGAGTGAAGCAACTGCAAACCAAGAAACGGTGTGCTGCGGTGTAGTTTACTGTTGGAGGCTGTACGAGGCGATGACAACTGACATGCATGGTGACGTCGGTTACCAAGGGTACGGTTGATAACGAGGGGGCAAACGAGAATGGCGTAGTGACGTCAATACAGTGTGACGTCATGCAAAAAGTGTACATTATCGCCTGATAAATAGAGATTACTAAATGTGTGTCTGTCAGATACCATTTATCTTACAACGAGTTGTTTCAAAACGTATTTTTGAAACAACAGATTGTAAGATAAATGGTATCTGACAGACACAAGTACAGTAATCTGTTTCTTACACACCATAAAATCGCACCATTTTATAGTCGAATAGATTCAAATTTCATATTTTCTCATCGTAGCTGCGCAGTAATACACAACACAACGTTTATGAATGAGTGACGTCACATGCCTTCCTAATCACAACTCATCCCCAAGGTGACCGCCACAAAAAAGTTTCTACCACCTTTTCGCGTCACCAAGGCAATGGTGATAATGCAAACTAATCACAGAAAATTAATTAAACCCTCTAAAACGATGATGTTCTTGCGAGCATAAAATATTTGAGCGTGTGACGTCATCGTTATCGTTTGGTGGTTGTCGTCATCGGAAGATTGTTTTGGACATCTCTGCAAATTGGTGATCTGTACTTGTGTACGTTCAATGTTCTCCCATCGACCGGAGCCAAAACTATTGAGTGTGTGTAATTAGGTGTAAACCGTGTGCTTGAATGTGACATTGCTGAGGTTACGTTCACTATCAATGGGGGACTAGAATCTACTCTTCT